CCAGTTTTTGTTTTATATTTCTTTAATGGAAAAAATATAATTCTATATATATGTGTATATAAATAAAAATCCATATGATATAATTCCATAGAAATATAAACAAAAATCTATATATTTAATATATTACAGTTATGATTAATTATTATTTAATATTATAATTATAAATTATTAGTTTATTTTTAGTATTAGATGATTAGGGTTACATAATGGGAAATATTGAGGAAGCATCGTTTAATAGTACTGGTTTCATAGGAATATTGATGAAATGATAAAATTGTCTTTGTTGCACTTTCGTTTAGTGGCACATTTTTACTATCGTTTTCGCTGTGTGCATTTCTTCATATCATTCGGCTTATGGCATTGGATTGTCTACATTGGTAAAACCAAAATTTGATGTGCTCTGTAATTTTAATTTTGCATCTTGTCTTTTGCATCTTGTCATCTTCTTGTAACAAAAATGAAGAGAAAGAGATCTAATTATTAAAAAATTAACAGAAAAATAAATAGGTTTTTTATGAAAACTTTGCAAAACAATAAGCAATAAGATCACGAAATTATTTCCAGCATTTAAATATGAGCAAAAGTAATGTAAAATGATAGCCATTGAAATGATTACAAAATAGCAGATCTGTTTGACTTCTATTATCAGTCTGTCGTCATGTGTCTGCAACCTTTACAATGTAAACTTGATACTAATGCAGTTAATGCTAATTTGTTGCAATTTATTTCTTGAGTTTATCGTTAAATTTTTTAATATTGCAAACAATTTTCTAGCTGAATTCATTTTTTTAACTTTTTGACATTTTATTATTCTTTTCATACTATTGTACATTAAAAAATACTATAGCTATATAATGAATTCATATCATTGCGTGATGTTATTTTAAAGATGATTTATTATCTATAGAAAGTACATACATATGATATATACGCATACACGTTACCGTGACATAAATAAAATATATAGATATATCTTACACGTTTTGACGATGAGTGAAAATAAAGTGATTATCCTTGTTCTGTTAGACTTTGGTAAAATACGTCATGCCAAAAGAGAGGTAAAGGATAGAAGGCATATATGTATATGAAACGCGTCGAAGGGACGCTATGTAATCCCAGTTCTCTCGTATATACATTCACTATAGGCGTACATATTCGAAAAGCATTTCTTTCATCGCCCATTTCTCTCATCTTACTTGTTTCTTCGTCGTGACAAAATCCGTCGTGTCGAAAGCACACTCGTCAAATTGCGAATTATGCTACGTACTTTTCTATTGGACGGCATATTACGGCACTGTGAGTTTGCTTTTTTTCACGCAATCGGGCTTCGTATCGGGCTCTTCGTGAGCTTAGAGGCTTTTCCTTTTAGCTTTTTGCATTTTCATGCTTCTGACCGTAAAAAATCTTGGTTTTTCGTCCACGACGACTTTTTGATACGTTTTTTTTTCACAAAAATGTGTGAAGCTTCTCCGCTCGAGATTCGTCCTTAGATCTCGCGATACTGCGTTATCGTATTCAGAACGTATCTATGCGTATGCATATACAAACATATTGTTCATTTATGTATCAATACTTCCAAATTTTTTAAATAAATAAATGTAATTTAATTTCTCCTTGAAATAGCATAATATATAAAATATATTATACTTGCTTAATAAATGAAGTAAAATAGAAGCTCTCTATATCTTGAAAAGATATCAAATATTTCATTTTATTTGATAAAAATTCAACTATATAGTATAATATTTATATCCAGATGGCACACAATATTTATAAAATGTTTACAAAATATTTATAAATATTTGTGTGGTCTGCACAGATTATAAACATTTATTATAAATATTATGAAATATTTATTGTAAATGTAAATTAATTTAATAAGACATTATAATCCAAAAAAATACTTATTAGAAATATTTATTTATATTTATCATAAATATTAA